TACTGACATCCCTTCTTATCAGTTGTGGCAATTTGCACCCAAGCCATGAGGATGAGTCTTCGTCGAGTGCCTTCATGCATTTTTTTCAATGTAAAATACATCTATAATCCCATGTACCTTGCTTTCATGGCATCCTCTTCTATGTCGCCAACATGTAATGGACATCTCTTCGATACCATTAAGAATTATGCAGCTCAGAACAACAAATTGAATGAAACCCTCCAAAAATTTCTCTAATTGTACAAATGCAAACGCGTAGCCACAAGTAGTCACATTTTCTTTACATACCAATACCCATAAGGGCCCCCGTTAACCGTGGCGCCACATCTTCAGGCTCCTGGCGCGCCATTTCAATGATGGTCAACAGCTTCTTAATGCCAATTTGGAACTTGGGTGCCAGTTCGTCGCTTTCGCTTTCAACATCGCCCTTGCGCACAACGTGCAGTCCTTCGCCTGCAAAGCCGGCCTGGCGCAGTGAGTGCATAACATGCCCTTGCTCATCCGCATTCCTGAAGAGCTCGACCTCGCGAAGCACAAACTCGAGTGCGCTCAAGGAAGATATGGGAGGAACACGGAGCTCTGAATCGAAGGTTTCGGAAAACCCGATGTCGGTGAGGATAGGACGTTGTGATGAGGTTGCTAAGATAAGTAGACGACGACCCTTGAGGGGAAAAGGATAAGAATGCGAGACAAATGAAATGTGGTATGTAATCTACCTTCGGTGGTCTTCGACCAAGCAATACTAATAGCGTCTGTAGTACCGCGTTCGAGAACCGTGCTCCCATTGGTGTCCAGTCTGATCATGTCTTTAGTATGACATTCTAAATATATAGACAACGTGAGCTTACCAATAAGTCGCTCAATGTTATCGACAACAACAACACTCAAAGGACTCTTGTAGCTGTCAGCGAACACCTTGGTGATGGCGGCAACCTTCTGCATCTCCGAGTATCCGACCATGGTATCTGGAGAAATAAGTTTAATGAAGGGAAACTCTGATGCTTGAGCAATCGATGCGGCAAGTGCAGTCTTTCCAGCACCAGGAGGGCCATGAAGAAGGACGCTGACGAGAGGAGTACGTGTTGATGTTCGTACTTGGTCCACAAAGAGCTCTCCAGATCGCAGAATATCCTAACAGAGCAAATGTCAGCAAATTCGAGTGTATACATCTAAAAGGCGCTCAAGCTTACATCGACCACCCTCTCATAGTGAATAATGCCGTTCTGGATGACTTGTTGTAATTCCTCCTCGGAGACACCGAACGCAGGGTGGACCTCCTCCAGAGCACTCATGAAGTCGCCTCGGTTGACGCGCAGGTTCTCCACATCATCCGAGATACCAGCCATTGTGCCGACCTTGACATGGCGGTTAAACGCGAAACTCGTCGCACTCTTGATAAGACCACCAATCTCGGCACCAGAAAAGTTCTTCGTTAACGCTGCAAGCTCGAGAAGGTCGACATCATGGTCCATTACACCGTTGGTTCGCATCTTGGAAGTATGGATATTGAGGATTTGATAACGTCCCTTTTCGTCTGGAAGTGAGATTTCCATATGAACCTCCAGACGTCCCGGACGGAGAAGGGCCTCATCAATCATATCCTTACGGTTGGTCATACCGATGATCAGAATGTTGTTCAGCTGGTCGACACCATCCATCTACAATACCAATATTAATTAATATGCTCAGCGGAGGCTCAGAAAGTGTACGCACCTTGGAAAGCAGCTGGTTGACAACGGTGTCACCGACACCAGTCCCATTGTTGGTAGAACCACGCTGCTTGAAGATGGCGTCCAGTTCATCGAAAATAATAATGTGAAGGCCACTCTCATCACCCTTCTCCTTGTACTACAAAAACCGGATTAGACCACTTTCGGACTAAAGAGTAGGTGCCAAACCTCTTTTTCCGCATCGCTGAAAAGTTTACGAATATTCTCTTCGGAGGCTCCGACATACTTGCTGAGAACTTCAGGCCCGTTGACAATTTTTGGTTCTCTTGCATTCAGCATCTTGCCAATTTGTCGTGCGATAAGCGTCTTTCCAGTACCCGGGGGACCGTGAAGCAGAATTCCTGATATATCATGTCGATTACAAGATACCAATGAGAGTATCAGGACGCGTACCTTTAACGTGCTCGATGCCAAGTTTCTCAACAAGGCCAGGGGGAAACACACGAGATGCAAATGCACGCCGGAAAATCTCGCTGAACTCTGAATCAAGGCCACCAATACCCATGTCTTCGAATTTGAAATTAGGGGCTAGGATTGCATTTGGTGGGGCCCTATTGTATCGTCAGGCCGTACATTCTGAACCTCATTTCGTGTAACTTACTTTTTGGCGCTCGACTTGATTTTGATGGCGCTATCTGGAGCCTTCATGAAAGTCATATCGGTCTTGTCCATAAGGATACCGAAATGCGTGGCCGACCGTTGACCAGCAGGAAGGCCTCGTCGTTGCTCATCCGCCAACTCTACTATACTAACTCCTTTAATCGTGGCCTTGAGGTTCTGACTATGGTATTCAAACACGAGAACCTCATCGGCAGACATGACGATTCCACTGTAGGCTCTGACAAAATTCTTGGCCATATCGTCAGCAGAGAATTGCTCTGCAATTTCATGTCCACGACGAAGGAAGCCAATTTCAATGTCAACAGATTGCAGGTAGGCAGGAGCGGCAGGATGTGGTGGTGGTGGCAGGGCATCGACGGAGATTTGATCTCCCATAAGAGATAGGCCAACCCATTGACGGATTAATGCAGACGCGCCAACTGCTCCAGGTTGCAATTTACCAGTGGTATCATGCCTAATTCGTGTTTAGTGATAAAACGAAAGATAGTTAAACCGCATACCTCGTAGTTAATGCAAAGCTTCCTTTGAGAAGTACGTGTTGACCCTGCTGAAAGTCTGACGGGTGCACGATGATGCAATTCGTCAAGGCAAGTGCATCACTAGGCGAGGCTACTACCCAATAGCTGATATAGATAATTAACATCCCTTGGTCGTGATGTATATATCTGGACATACCTTCCACCTCCACGCGGTGGTGGAACACGATCGGGTCTCTTCTCAAAGAGTGCATTTGAAGGATCGTTGTAATGCGGAGGGGGTGAGGTGTACTGCGCTGACTGCGGTGGTGGTCGCCGAGGTGGCTGTTGAGGATAATCTGGGACGCGATTGTAACCGCCGTGTGGGGGAGGCGTTGAATTGGGCGTATTTGAACGACCAAAGAAGCTCATGGTGGATGAAGAAGAGAACGTGTAGAGAACGTGTTTATAGTCAAAATTGAAGTCGTCGTCTCACTGCCACGATCACTCCAGATCATTGCGGAGAATGGTCTGCTTACGTACACAGCCACAGCTTGAGATGAGAGCACGTTCCATTTAACCTCTCTTCACTTAATTACAAGGCATTTACTGCCAAAATGCCTGCCACCTCTCCAAGTATTCCCGACTCACTACCTGCAGACGAGTCCTGCGAGCTCCTCGGACCAACAGCGCTGGTCAGCGTCTACTCTACCCTCTTACCCTCCCTTCTAATCGTTCTTTATATCGTAGGTCGTGCAAGCCGTCCTTGGAGTTTTCGTTATTCTTTCCCTGGTCTATAAACGACATAGAGAGCCCCGGAAACGCCCATGGAAGATATGGTGTGTTGTCCGTCACCCATGGCGTAATGTGCGCGTACTGACGGACGGACCTAGGTTGTTTGACGTATCAAAGCAAGTGGTGGGCCAAATGTTCGTCCATGGTGCCAATGTCCTCGCATCCGATATTATTTCTGGATACACGTCCGGAAATGCATGCGTTTTCTATTTTCTTCACATCTTATTAGACACCACACTGGGTAAGCTGCGACTCTCTACTACTGACAAGTTGCTCAAGCCGTAGCAGGTGTCGGAATGATATACGTTATCCTACATGCCCTTACCGATTTTATTACGGAACGCTTGCAGTGGGAGGGTTTTGTATCAGGTGTATATGGTAAACCACCCTCCATCACGCATTGGGCTCGACAAGCCCTGATCTATGTCCTTGCGCTCACCACTATGAAATTTATCGTCATATTATTAATTGTGTTTATTCCTGGCATGTTTTCCTTGGGAGAGTGGCTTTTGAGCTGGACGCGGATTGGATCTGGCGACTCTGTTCAAGTCATCTTGTACGTCATACCATCAACTCTGTGCTACCTAACTGATCCCTTCATCAGTGTTATGGGATTGTTCCCTATAATCATGAACGTCCTTCAATTCTGGCTAATTGACTCCATCGTCAAAGCATCGACCAAACCTGTTGCATTGCCTGATGATCCTCATCCTCCTCACGGCCACGATCAACAACCTTTGTTCCACGCTCAATCGGATGATGAGGACGATGACGCTCTTAGACCTGATGACATAGAACAAGGACGCTCACGATCTCCTACTCTGCACATTTCATCGGGGGACTCAGACGAACACAAGTCTGGGGCCTCCTCTCGTGACGAGCCCGAAGATCACTCTTACCCACCAAGCCTCTCCAGTAGTTTCACATCCACCAGTTCACATCCTAGACCTGCTAAGAACCTCCTCAAGAACAATAAACGACGGACAACACCTGCCCCGCTCGATGTGCACAATGATTATTCCCCAGCAGTCAATTCACCAAGCATCCCGGGTATCCCGGTGCCAATACATTTGGCGCGGGAATCAGAAGGTGCAGAAGGGGAGGGCGATGGGTGGACCCAGTCTTGGGATGATCAGGATGACTGGGAGAATCGACACGAGGAAGAGGAGGAAGAATGGACTGTAAAGAGGACACCAAGTCATGCATCATAGCATTTGGCACGGGTTTTGGGGTTAGAGAGCACATTTTTGTACTATATCAAAACGAACGACAATTAATATGTTTCTAAACAAGAGAAGGGGATTATGATTGTCTGAAAAGTCACGAGACGGAAGGCTTCTTCTGTCGCCACATCCTCTAAGTATAGATAGCTGCGGCGCAAAAGCAAAATAGACAGGCTAACCCCTGGCGGGACTCGAACCCGCAACCTCCAGATAACCTGATGGTAGAAGTCTGACGTCATAACCATTAGACAACAGGGGCTGTTGCTCTGAACGTCTAGAAGAGCTTGCAGAGCTGCAGGATGGGAAAGAGAGAAGGATAGCAAGGTTAAGCGGTACCCCGATTTTTTTTTATTGAGTACAGAAATGGACAAAAACTACATCTCGTAGCGATACCTACTCCGATAAAAAGTTAAGAATGATGTTAACCTTTCGTTCCAGGCCCTATAACGAGACAAGGCAGGACAAGGCTTCTGAAATGCGACCATAAAGGACAAAAGAATGAAATGGAATCAAATCAATAAGAAGCCAGCCACTGAGTTTTGATCGACGCCCACGTGAGCCTTGACGCGTCGGCAAAAAATCTTGTAATTATTTAGTGCACTGCCTATAAGATCATACCTTCCATCCACGTTGTTCCCAGCCTTCAATTGGCATGTCTGATTCTCTCTCTATGGTAGAGGACAGCTCTAAACCGGCAAAGCCCATCGCTGGATTCAACCTAGAAAACATCCTGAGCGACAACCATGAAGCAATCGAGCACCCTGGGACGGTCGAGAACGGCGTAAGCGCCACCGGGTGGGATGAAGAAGTCACTGAGGCTCAGGTAGCTGAAGGATTCTGTGTCGAGTGTGAAGGTAAGTCCCCCGTTTGTCCTTCGCCTCCGTATCATCAGCTCATGTGCTCCGATGTTCGATAGATCAACCTGCCCAACTATTTTGCGAAACGTGTTCTGATGCATATTGCGAAGTGTGCTTTTCCGCACAGCATAGGAAAGGCTCTAGGAAGCAGCATACTTCTAAGCCTCTGGATCCCCCTAGCGAAAAGAAGCCAACGAGCAATGGTGTGATAACCAAGGCCGCACGGGAGGATGCTGTGAGATAACTCGTCTCTATCTTCTTAGTTGTTTATCTCAACACTTTTTATAGATGGATGTAGAAGAAGATGGTGAGAACGAGTCCGATGAGGAGGAGTGGGAAGGTATTGTCCCAGAGCTTTCAGGGGAGGCACCAGTCCTCGGCGCGCAACCAGCCGTTGGGGCAAAAGTCGGTGACTGGTTCTTAGAACGCGCAAAATATATTCCCCTTCGCCTGACGCTCGGCGAGCGCAAATATCTCCGACTTTTGGAAGCCGCTCTCAATGTTTCCGAGTATACTGACAAAATCGATACCATTGGCTTCGGGCTTTCCAAGGCGAAGAGGATTGTCCAACAAATCCGTGAACTATGCGCAATCATGTCTGGTCTCCTTCTAGCGGCGGATTACAAACAAGGGCAGGAACTGTTCACGGACCGAGACTTTGAATCGAATGCAGAATTCTATCAACAGATTTTTGAACTTGGGAGGAGGCACAAGATCATGAATCCTGACAAGATGAGAACAACTTATGGGAAACTTGTATACCTTCTTCAGGTAATGATTCCTGCTTTGTTATCTTCCTGAAAGATTTCTAATCTCCTTTCACAGGACAGTCAGTCCCCGGATGTGAAGGACCTGTTGAACTTCTCCTGTGTTCGACCTCTCAAGACAGTTTACTCCGTTCTGGAAGAACACGAAGCGCTCGATATATTGCGAGACGACCTCATCACCATTGCGACCAAGGAGATCTACTCGGAGGGCCGTTCACGGCGCGAAATTCAAAAAGATATCAAAAGCAAAGAGCGAGCTATTGAAACTCTGGCGGCACGCTACGAGCGTAATGGGCTCCCACAGGAAAAGCTGCGACAATGTTTGTACTCTATAGGTGACAACCATGCTTTCCTACGCGTGAATCGAGACCCATGCGAGCGGATGATCAACTACCTTAAGGAGCATTTCCATCCTACGCAAGCCAAGGATAACAAGAGTAGCCTTGCTATTCGAAGTGGCCGAGATGGCGCAAGGCTTTCTCATGATCATGGCAAACAGTACGCCTATGTTCTCCAAAGTTTGACACTTTGGAGAGAAATATTACACGGTGCGTTAGTTACCTTGATGGCATTTAAATTATAACTAAACAATGCTTCAAGACATGTTCCATCTCTGGTCGTTGGCAGAGCAAGATCTACTTGCAGAAAATGTACATTACCGGCTTCGTGATACAGGCCAGGGTTTGAATCGGGTACAAGCCTCACCAAAAACTTCTCGCATGATGCACAATATCCTCCATAAAGCCCAAAGAAGCGTTGGGACATGGATAGGCTCCAGTGTTATCCACATGGGCGACCACAATGTCCCTAATGCTCTGATGTTCATTGACAAATACACTCAAATATATCGGATCCTCCTCCCCATCTGCAACACCCTCTCACAAATACCTTCACTCGCCGCAAAACCCGCCTTGCGTTCTTATATCGACGACGAATTTGGTTCGACAGATAACCTGATGCGAGAAATCCTGGGTGATTTCTTCCGCCATGGTTTCGATGGCTCTGGAGCAGACAACTTCTTCGATGCCGGAAGTTGTATAGACGGAAGGCTCACCAGTGCTTGGAATTGGTGTGCCTCTTTAGAGAAAAAGAAATACTTCCACATCTTTTTGCTTACAGGTATGTGGATGTGTCAGCTATCAGGTGTTTAGTACTGATAACCACTTCAGGATTCGTGGGATTCGACGGGGAATGGTGATAGATTATACGCATGGAGCACGGTGCTATCCTTGCAAAGTAGACGTAACTGGGATGTATTACCCATAATCACGGAGATCTATATAGAACGCCTAAATGCGACCAAAATCCCTTCGCTTTTCAGATTGAATATTTTCCCGCCTGTTCCTTGAAAGGCCCGGACGTTGAACGTCGGTAAATGCTGGATCCATCCACCGTGTCAGTCTTGGGAGATAACACTGTAAAGTTCATCAGAATAACAGTAACGACAAGAGCGAAGCGAAAAGGTCCCAGGAGTCATTTCGTTAAGTTCAAACCTTCAGGTTCAATGACTTACGTTGTCAATCAGTCAACGCTTCAAGGAAAAGGCGAAACAAGAGTGCAATTACTCCCCAGGTATGATGACACTATCTATTAGGCTACAGCTTGGGGTTGTCCAAGACCTGCTTGTCGCTTTGCGTTCACGACGACATCTAAAACACCGTTGAGGCCAGACTTCCATGCCAATAGCCTCTTTTCCAGAGCCTCCCATTGCTCCTTTTCGAATGTCCGTGCGGTCGCCCGAATAACGTGGAGGCTCTTCGTCGTTTGCGAGAGCTTACCCCAGACTAGCTGTACCCTGATAACTGTAATAATTGTCAGATCATATCTCATAAATAAGTATGATGAGACAGTACCATCAATGGCCCATTTCTCCACCTCTGTGGCGTCGACTTGGATAGTCTCAGCGATCTTAGAGTACGGCAGGTCACGCCCGATATATTGGAAAGCAAGCGACGCAAGAGTGAGCAGGCGGATCTTACGCTCTAGTTGTGAACTCTCTAAGTCTATAAAACCTGTGAGTACAGTTCGTAGCACTAATCGAAATCTACGCACTGTATTTTTCAAGGGAACCGGGGTGTGCGTCGGCCCATGCTTTGAACTCTGGAAGACCATTGCTGAGGAATATTTGGAGGAGAGAGTAGAGCTCGTGATCTTTTATTGAGATGACCGCATCGAGTTTGAAAAGAGGGTCGAAATCAAAGACGTTAGGGAGCCTAAGGGCGGTTGCGATCACATTAGCAGCGCCGTCTTTAGCAGCAGGTGTCGTTGATGGTAAGGTCTGAACATATAGTAGCTCATATTCATAAGCATTTTCTCTGCAGGAAAAATGAACAAAATGAAGACAGAGAATTTAAGCGAAACGCACGGCTGGGACTCTGCTTCATACGCGCTGGAGATTGTTTTAACGAACGAAGCCTTCTCTTCCGGTGATATACTCCATTCTGAGAACCACTTTTCGACGCTGTTACGGGTGACTTGAAGAGTGTCGAGATCGCCGTTAGCACTTGCTGTTTGTATCAGGGCACTGTAAATCAGCGAGCGCAATGGTGAGGTGCGCTCCGAAGCATTGAAAAGATTTGACAATCTGGAGTGATAATGCGTTAGTTGATGTCCATTTCGAAGACTTGATATCTATCATACATGTGGTATTTGAGGGCTTTTTGTGTCGCTGCCTCGTGCGTGAGGAGTTCAATGAAGCCATTGACCAAAGTTCTTGTATCGGATCCGTCAGACGCGTACAAAGAGTACAGATGGGAGAATAGTAGATTGAAAAATCCCTCAACCTCTGTTTTAATCGTGAGCTGACTTTTATTGTTCAAGAATTTGTGCGCACCTTTCTCTGTGCCGTCCCCAAGGCCCTTCACTTCGGCCACTACCATCTGAAATATCCTTCGCTTCCGTTCAATATCATCATCGAGTGGTTTTTGTCCTTCAGGAGTTTTAAGGGCATCTTGAAATGGGCGAATGAATTCCGCGCGTTCTTCGTCTGATCGATTTCGAACAATGTAGTTGACTAGTTCTTGGATCTGGGATGAAAAATTAAAAATCGCACTCAGAGTAGACCTGGATAGAGATTCTTGCCTGCTCCTCGAATGTTCCTTCAGCAAAAACTGATACAGAGTCCGTTCCAGCCATATTGTAACTGATAGTGGCTATAGAGCCTTAATTGAAAATTCTGCGCAAAGCCTTAGCAAAATAAGTGCAAACTTTCCCTAGGCTTCGGTAGTGAACTGGCACACTCTCACAACTTGACATCGCCTTGGACCCGGACGATAATTGTCAGTTGTCAATAATGGACATTTGGCAGCTCAACGGGGCTTATAAGTACGCGATGCCTGTTTATCGGATCTCGACAAGAATGGCTTCGTAGTCATCTTCCCCTTGATTGAGTATCTTAGCATTTGCCACTTGCATTAGCACTTGCGCACTTCGCGTGCACTAGATCTTTTTTGGTTCAAAGCGGTGAGAGTGTTTAAATTACTCTGATTGCTTGTTGGAACAGTAATACTAACGTACATATACTTACTTTTTTTCACATTAGCATTCCATCTGTGCCAAGAAATAGCTGGGCTATCCGAAGAAGAGCCCGGACGTGAGATGAATTTACATACTTATGACAGCGCGTACAATGGTAC